CAGGAAGAAAGAACACCTGGCAGGTGTGACAGCTTCCCTGCTCCTATGTTTTATAGACATCTCCCTAGACTTGAGTGTGGGTTCTTGGATGCACTGCGGACTCCTACAGCAGAAAACAGATCTATATATATTTCTGTCTAACAGCCTCTGATTTACTAGATGTGAATGGCCAGGTATGCTGATGTCCTGCCGTGTAAACTGGCTATGTATCATCAGTAAAAAGACTTAATTTCGAATTTTGGAACATTAAACAAAAAGCCTTTTAGTTCCTCCCTCCTCCCCCAAATGTGGTGTTTAATCAAGTAATTTGTTTCAGACTGAGGAAAAAAAAAATCACTGTTAAACAGTCATCAGTAACCTTTTAACACTTAGCTACATAAGGTCTGAATATTAATCTCAGCAGACAGGCATGGTCTATGACTGAGTTTTCTAGCTGATTAAATTATTATAATGTCAGTTGAGTAAAACATACATTTAAAAATATTGTAAAAACATTGTTATTTGCATATATTTCAAGTAATAAATCATACCATACCTATTCGAATTACATGGGCAACTATGTACAAATCTCTCTTCATGTCCTTGCTGCTGAGATCCTAGAAGATTGGAAAAAATATAGACGTGAAAAAAAAAAAGAACACACTGCACTTCCAAAATAAGTGCCTGCAAAATTCAAACGAACAGTAATAAGGACTACACAGTATTACTCTCCATTCATTTAGCTCCTGCATCTTTAAATAAGAGAAAGTGTTATTATTTCTAATTTACAGACAAGAAAAATAAAGCATAGAAGGATTATATTTGGTTGGAATGATTAGAGGGAAAAGAAATGAAAGATTCTGACTCCACTAGTGATGCTGCATCAAAATTCTAGCAAACATTTGAAATGTTCATTTAATCCTTAATTCAAACACTTATTAGACTGTATTAAATTTACAAAGTAAATTTAAACCCCTGAGTTACCTCAGCTGCAACCCATTCTGGCTTCCTTCACCCCATCCCCTGACTGCACGTCACAGACCTGACCCTAACCCTGTTCCTTTGCTTCTGCTCTCCTTTTTTGGCTTTTGACTTCTCATCATGGAGTCTTAGTCTCACATGGTGGCTCTAGAAAAAATTCACAGCATGACTGTCAGAATTTAGATAAAACTTCAAATGCGTTTTATTTTATAAGTGGATAGGTGCAATTCCTCAGAACAAGCAAGAGTCTGCAGAGGAAAAAAGGTAGGAGACTCAGAGACATGGTTTATTTTAATGCTTTTAAATGTGCAGCTTTAATCCTGTTTCATGTATGTTCATTACATTACAAAAGCAGCAAGGCAGTATCTCAACCATGCATAGAACCTACAGGCTCTATCTATATGAGTTGATGGGAGCCAAGGGCAGCTAGTTCATAGCTAACCTTCTCAGAAGTCCAAACCCAGGGTAGGCTGCATGCGAACTGCTGACTGGAAATGCCTTCTGTCCCTGTCTAACTGCTGAAACATGCCAAGGGATTATTTGGGGAGCATGGTAGTTGGAAAGGGCCACATTTGGTTAAAAACATTCTAACGGTTTAAGTAGCATAGATACTTGTATTTAGTATGTCAGAAACAGGGATAGGGTATTGGAAAAGCTAAGAAACAAACTCAGTTTTAAGATGAGGTAATTGCTTAGTAAAACGCAGGACCTTAAGATCTCCCAAAAGTTATTTTATGGCAAACAACTATATACATGGATTAAAACTCTGAAATCCCATGTCACAGAATACCAGGTCAAAACTTTTTAAAATGAGCTTGAAGAAAAGCCCAAAAAAATGGGAAAAGGAGAACCTACGGAAGAGCAAAAGGAAAGCTGAAGCTAATGAAGAAGAAAAAAGTATTATTGACCTTGACAAACCTTTAATAATAAAGAAAATAAATCAAGAAAATATGTATAGAGTACTTGTCAATAACTCATTACTGTGGCATTTTGCATTAACATGTTAGAACCTGTCTTAATTGCAATTTCCTTGGCATGTTACATTTTTTCTGATAACATTATAAACAAAGACCAACATCTAAGATGCTTCCCCCCCCTTTTTTTTTAGAGGAAAGATCTAAGAAACATTTCTTCCCAAAAACATTATTGTTGTTCAACAAGTTTTCCTTATGTTACTAACCTCCAAGAGAAGAAGATTTTGGACAGATAATATGTACTGTGAGAATATTTATTCATGTTTTAGACTCTGATGCAGAAAGGCTCCTTGTGCTCTACAGCAACAGCTGTTGCCTCAACCCTTCTCTCTCTCCACTCTACTAAGTGTTATCATCTTATCGTTAGTACTGACTTATGCCACACAGCCTCCAAATTCTCCAAACATAAAGGGCATCGCCCCAGTCATTTCTCAGAAGAGCAACTGGAAAATGATTAATGTATTCTTCCTAAGAATGTGGAAAGGTAAGTGAAGTGTGTGCACACGTGAAAGAGAAACATCCAAAAAGAAGGTTTTAAGCTCAGTTACTGTTGTTCACTTCACTCCTCCCCTTACACTGAAGCAATGGCCATCACCTCACATCATTTTAAAACAATTTTTTTTTGTTTGTACAAAATGTTTTCATCATTATGCTTTTTAAAAACAGCTCTAGGGCTTTATATGTGACTTCACAAACAACTTGAGATGATAGCTGTGTGTTCATGTTTCTTCACTTTTCTTTTCTCCTTTTCAACTGAATAAAGATATTCATCCCAGCGGTAACAGTCCCTGCTAAAAGGTACACTTGTGTGGGTAGAACCACACCAGTGGATTTGTTTATGCACAAATGCAGCTTGGCCTTCTAATACTACATTTTTTTGAAAATACAATGCAAAAATCAACTGGAAAAATCTCAGTAACACACATTCAGATAAAATCTTGTATTTTTCTTTTTTAAAAAATGCCACAACTAAGTGGTATTAAAACCACTATAAAAGGAAATAACACGCTTGTTTATAAAGGCAGGGAAATTTTAAACTGTGGACATCTAAGTTCTGTCATTCCCAGTTTGAACCAATTCAGTGAATTAAAAATCATATTTTGCTGGAAGTTAAAACACGAACTTTAATTCACACAGCAAATTTCTTTCCCGTGTGACTTGAGAAACCAAATCTCAACAACTGAGATTATGATGGCAATGCACATAAACACTGAACTTCAGATTATAGTGACATATAGCACAATAAAATCTGGGCACAGTGACTGAGAACTAGGCATAAAGAGAATTTATTCTAAGGAGAAGTTTCAGTCCCTTTCAAATAGCGTTATATTGCTAAATTAGGGGAGGCAAGTAATAAATTCATGGCTGTATCTTCTTACTCGGTTTAAAAGGAGCACTGTATTTCCCTGGGCAGCATATGCAGTAAGTTGCAAATATGCTGTTTGGTATGCTTACCAGCTAGCAGATCATGTCTCTCTGAAGCCAAAGAATTAAGCTATATAAATCTTCCTTAGCGTTTTCTCTTCAAGTCTTATTTTGCTGCTGCATGAATAAGGAAACATACTTTCTAGGCTTTCTTCATCACCTAACATACCAGTGTAGCATATGGTAGGTTTTATCTTGCATGTCTTGGAGAAATTGAAGTTCCACGATAAGAAGGGCTTTGACATAGTTTTAATCTCAGCAGTGCTTGACAATAGATTTCAAAAAGCAAGGCAGTACTTAATACTCTAGAGAGTAACAGATTTTTGAAAATACTATGATTTGGAAGGGGGAATTTTATCATACTGTCAGATTACCAGTTCTAATTAACAGCAATTTTTAGACAACTGTTTTTTTCAAAGGGCAGCTGTCAAAATACCAGAAAATGGTAGGGCATGCACATATTGATGGGTTCACACTTTAGTCGCTTTCCTATTTCACAAAAATACACTGTGTCACAGTCAAAAGACAAAAAAATGTGGGCCCAGATGGCCTTGTATTTCATTTTGTACAGCAGAGGCTTTTTACAAGGGGAGAAATTCCTACTATGACATGGAACAATCAAAATCTCCAACCCCTGCGAGGAAGTCTTCAGATAATTTCTTTGCAGAGAATCCCTGCTCATGACTTAGGACCCAGAAGAGAACAAACTACATTTATTATTTGCTTGTGTGCAATATAAATAAATCAATTTCCAGAAAGGTGTTCTTAGCACCGCATCCACAGGGGGCTTATTTCCCACATCCTTCTGAGCTTCCTAAGTGATACCGGTTGATAAACAAAATAATTTCGTAATAATTCTAATTGCATGGCTTTTTAGAAAATCACTCCTAATTTTTTCTCCCCCATATTAGGTATGGAAAAGAGTTACTCTATAATAATGGTTAGTTCTTTACAATGCTGGTTTCTATAAAGGTCTAATTGTATGTTAAAAAACCCAAACACTACCGCTCCCCCCTGCAAACAGTGGAATCAAGGATACCTGACTGCCACTAATTAGTTATTTAAACAGCTTTACCAAATTCAGTTGCCAGCCTCATAGGCCACAGAGAGTAAGGTATTTAGCAAAAACAGCAAGCTTATACTGTGTAGTTACATTTTAATTCAGACACAGGAATGCTTCTAAAGCGTGCATAGGGTGAGGTTTGCTTGCGTGAGCTTTAATCTTCAGAGGAAGCAGTTTCTCACCTTTGGTATGATGTGACAGCAGATTCAAAATCAAAACCTAAGCAATTTTGCTATCTTACACAAGGAGACAGCTGAAAGCCTAGAAGCAATAGAGATAGCAGGAAAAGACAGGGATACCTTGAATTATCTAAGATATGGGGCTTCTTGCCCCTAGGAAAGATTAGAGTTTTAGAAGGACGCTGTGGGGTGTGGGGGAGGGCAAGGAAATAAATAACTAGATTTAAAGGCAAGACTAACACAAACTTAGGAACAAACCTGAAAATCATAGAACTATCTTATTTTGGAAGCATTTCATAACCAAGAAATTATGATAAGATAAAATGGTTATTCAAAAAGCTATTATTTGTTGCTCCTTTGCTACATAATTTGGAAAGTTCTTTGAATACACTGATGAAAAATATGTATCAGAAGTGTGTAATTTTTTGCACAGAATTTTCCCAATTATCATAATTCCTGTTATGTAGAGTATACATTCTACCAGAGAGAGTGATAGACAAGTCTAAGCACCTGTCAGAGCTGATACTGAGGCAGCTTTGGTATTTTTGTATAGTTAAATAGAAAGGTAGCTTAGGAGTGATCTCTGGTCAGAAGGATAGGTGCTATAGAGTGGAGCATATCTGCAATACTCGGGGCTGGCCTCTTTTAGACTGGGCTGGCCCCGTTCATAATATGCAGCAGGTCTCTTCTGGAGCTATGTTATGCCCTTGGCTGTAGCACATCTTTAGCCTTCTTGTATTTTTGAAATCATGTGAAGACTGGTTTGCAGGTCACCGGAGCAAAACCATTTCACACTGTTCACAACGCAGTGTAAAGCAGGGCAGTCGCTGCATGACCCTACATAGTGTGACATCAGTGTAGACGGGGAAGTCTGATCGTGAAAATCTTCTTAAGAATGAGCAACCCCAGAGGCCAGGAAGTGCCAAACTTGATACAAAGCAGACTATGCTGCCTTTTGGGAGTAATCCTTAGAGCAATTCTTAATCCTACACTCAACCTTTTGGCATGATCCAGACACCAGTGCTGAAGCTTGCTCCCTGGCCACCTCTCTCTCAGAAGAGAAAGATACTTGATTTTGAGTTACCAACAGTGGAGTCATCAGTGCCAATGGCAATACTAAGACACTGTTACCTCTGCTGACATTTAATCAGCTTCACTGATGGTTCCCAAACCAGAACTGCTACTGATGTCAGATCAATGTCAGCGCTAATTCTGGATTGACCTGCATCTCTTCTAACCAGACAGAGGCAGAACGGAGCATCCTTACACCTCGCTAGATGTGCTCCGTTCCTTAAGGGGAGAAATTCAGCTACCTTCTTAAAGGAGAAACGGGAGCAGTGCTGGGAACCATGCCTGTTTCAGTCTTCAGCCCCACTTGACCTTAGGGATTCACTGCCAGAACTAAAGCTTACACCAAAGCTGTCTGCCATTTTTTTTCTTCACTGGAGCTAAAAATACTTCCATCAAAGAGCTTCTAGCATGTGCACTAGCTAAAGGTGAGTCACGATGGAAGGTGTTTATCACACTTGGGATCTGAAATTCTTTACAGTTATTCTGTGATGGATGAGCTGTAAAGTTTCAGTGTCTCTAGATTTCCATATTCTTCCCGAGAAGTGACAGATAAAATCGGGGTCTGACACATGATTCTGAGGCAATTTTCAACAGAACTTAAGACCAGTGCAGAATGGATATTAAAGCTTGAGTGTTTTGAAACTACTGTATTGGTATAACCAAAACTATAAAACAAGAAGGCAGTTAGGTGAGAGGCGAGTCTGAAGAATTAAAAGGAAGTAAATCTTAGCTGGCTATTTCACTCCCAACTGAGATATCATTTGGTAGGAGCCACAGATGGATATTACTTATCCTGTCTTTCTGGCACAGATGGTTAAAGACTGCTGGTACAGTTGGTCATATCTGCTTTGCGTCAGGACGGGGTAGCTATTTGCACAGACCTGCTGTAGAAACTTAGGAAGTCACAGTGTTTCCTTTATTACAACCAGCTCTCTGTAGCTCAATTTGGCTGCTGCTTCTGCAGCACATCCCGGCCTTTCTGTTCCATCACACGCTGTGTGCTGCCGACCTGGGAGGCTACTGCGGCACCACCTACCTTAGGCTGCTACACGGACTCTTGAATGGGCCATGACAAAAATCTGTTTGGAGAATTCTCTAGTTGTCTGTGTGCGTGTGTGTGTTGTTGTGGTTGTTTTTCTAACTTCGATTCTGAAAAAAGTGCCTTGCTGTATGTTCAGGCCAACGCAGCTTTCTCCTGTGCCCTATTATCTAAGAGCATAGTACATGCAATGAAAATATTCAAAATTTCAAACGATAAGCAGGAACAAATGCACTTAAAAGGAAATACTTCAGAATATTTACTTAGCCATAAAAATAACTTAGAAGTACGTCCATTTTCTTATGTTAACATTTAGTTATAACCATAACAAAACTTAAAACAGCTTCTGTTCTACTCAATATATTGGAAAGGAAGAATTGTTTTTTTTCCCGTCAGGGTGACTACAATCATACTACTGTAAGGGAAGAAGAAAGGGAACAGACACGTACTGTGAAAAGTGCACACATTCGATCTATCTTCTCGGGATTCCTGGGGCCTCCATTCTTGTTTAACCTCACCATAAACCTCTCACTAAAAAGCAAACAATATTAAAAAAAATAAACAAGAGTTTCATGTACACACTTCAACATAAAAAATACAGGTAGATACGTTTTTTTTTTTTAAAAGATGCACTAGGTATTGTAAGTTTTTTAGTTCCCAAAGCATATGAAACAGTACTCACTGATCTAGATAAAATTACATGGAATAGCATAGAAGACTTTTAATAGCAAGTACTCCGCATGTGAAAACATCATGTTGATGCATATTCATGATGCAGTAACATTAAAATAATGTGAATATATGAAGCACAGGATTTGAACACATTACAAGTACTTCAGGCAAAGGCTAAGGCACACTCGCCGAGGCATACGCTGCCTTTGGTAAAACTGAGTTCATTAAAATCCACCCAAAACTAAAAGTAACAAGAATACCCATTAAGCAATCTCCTTCAACATATACTATTTATAGAAGCAATATACTAATTCACACACATTAAGATTCAATTGATAGAACTGCTTATCAATGAAATGAAACAATCTTTTTACCAGCAAAACCAGCGTGTGTAGCCAGACTGCAAAATACATAATCCTTATTATGGATGGTAAGCCACGGACATTGATATTATTTCTTAAGACAGACAGAGAATTTATGTATACAAATAAATTAGATGAGTAAGAGTAATTTATTTACTAGATGTGCGACAACACACTAAGTATTGACCAGAATTTTCTTCTTACAGATTCATAGAAATAAAGCAAGAGCACACCATTAAATCTTCTAGTTACATTTCCATTATATCACAGATCCTTTCAATTTTATCCAGTATGACTGTATCAACTACAGTAACCTTTATGTGACTAAAACACATCTTCCAGCATATTATCCACTGTGGGCCTGAAAAATATGAAAACGTAGAGTACGCACTACTTCCTTTGGTAGCTTGCTCCAAAGGCTTTTCATCCCTACCATTAAAACGCCTGGGTTAACATCAGCTCGGAAATGTCTGGTTTCAGTGTTTAGCCACTGCTTTTTGTTACACTTTCTTCTGTATGTTAAAGAGCACTTCAGAAAAGCTAATTTCTTACAGGGTAGTGATATCAATCATTAATTATATTATGTAATCAAATATCTCTCCAAACAAGTAAGCAATTTAATGCTGTTAAGAAATTAAAGAAAAAGTTTTTTTGTTTTATAGAACTTACCCATAGTGCGATTGTTCAACACCATTTCATGAACAGTTCTAAAAATGTGAGTTTGTAACAGTCTAGTACTGGTACCACCTCCACCATAAATACAAATACACACATACGTGTATTTCACACACATGAAATCAAGTCCCTACCAATCCTAACTAATTTATCAGACATCACATATTAGCCTTTTTACTACAGCGTTATGCTGTGAGTTCATTTGAAGCAACCTGGCCATTATAAATACTGATGTATTTTCAGAATTGCTACTTTTGTCGGAATGGGCCCTAATTCTGTAAGCATGACTCATACATCTTATTATACACCTTTGCGTGTTTATTTGCTTAAGTTTATCTTGCTAAGCAAGCCAGATCTTGCTCTCTGGCTGTTTCGCCCTCCCTATTACTCACTATTAATCCAATCTCCAGGTATCCCACAACTTCATTCAGCGATAATTTTAATTCATTTGCAGCAGACGCTTATAAGCTTGGAGATTGCTAACATGCCCCAAAGAAACCCACAAGAAACAGATATTTGGTGATTCTTTACCTACAACTACTTTCTGAGATGTCAATTACTAAGTTAAGAATGTTTTAGCAAACACTTTAATGACATGGTATAATCTAATCTTCTAGTAAGAATTTTATGCTGTATTAAGTGGAGTGCAGTACACTATTACAACTTCAGTACATTGCAGTTACAGTTACATTACAACAACAATATTACATCTTCATATTTACCTCTATCTACCTAATACATAAATCACAAAAAATGAAGTCAGAATTTTCAAAATAAGACCTATGTTCAATAAAAACACATTAATTACATTCTTAACCTTTATCATTAACCCAGTCTCATGCCCATTATTTTGCTGGTAACTAATTAAGGTTGTGAAAACACATAGCAGCATGTAATTCAAGCAGTTGCGTCTCCCAGCTGTTCGCCTCAGTCCTTTGTTGCTCCTGCAAAAGGGCCACGCAAGCAGGCACTACCTGAACAATTACATTGTAGAACTCTAAATATTAACACAAGCTGAAAGAGGTGTCAGTTCGGCAGCAGTTACAGTTGCTGGCACTCAGCTGTCCCTACTCAATGAATTTCAGAAGAGGTCAGGCAGGACAGTTACAGTCATGCCCACAGGTAAGCTCCAGTTAATACAGCGAATAAACCAGAAGATAACTAACTTCTATACCATCCATTTCCAAACAGGAATCATGCTTTATATCATTAAAAATATGTAGTAATCTAAAGAGGTATCAACTCATAGCCGTGTTCTTTCCAAGCCACAGCAATAAACATCAATACTTCCAATGCCTTCAAAAACACTGTTTAGGGAGACTTTAATTTTAATAAATCCATTTAATTTTAATCCTTGAATCAGTTTAATTGTACAATCTTTCATTTAGAAGGATTAGGAGGTAACATACATTTAATTTCTGTTTACAAGTGTAATTTGTAAAACATGTCTCCTTCCATAAAGTAAAATTCCTTAAAGAAAACAAACAAAAAACTATCATGACCTGCAGAGCTACGAAAGTTACTTTCGTAAAATAAACATCGGTCCTCTTTAAAACTGAACTTGAAACAATGATAATTAAATGATTGTAGTTTATTTGTTAAATGTAAATTTGCCAACACCCTCTACCAGTACACTGAAAAATAATTACTGTGCCTTATGCATATTAACTGTGTCCCATTTTTAAGGATAAGAGCATAAAATAGATCCATACTACACAAACAAGATCTCTGGCAAACTATTCTTTCACTTCTGCTGCTGGGAATGTAATCCGGCCACCAAACAGGGGTGCAACAGATGAACACGGAGCTAATACATGCAGCCTAGGATCAAGAGGAAACAAGACAACAAGCAGCCTGCCAGTAGAAGATTACGAGCAATATAAATCACGTCTGCAGGGGAAAATGTGCTCACTGGTGAAGATGTCCATCCAAAATCAAACTGTAAATCAAAGCTGGCTCACTCATATTTGATTGCAAATCCCCCCCCAAAGTTATTATACCCTACATAATAAACACCTGGAATATCTTCACTCTCATCACAGTGGTCATGACGATCAAGGCCGGTTCTCTTAATTCAGAGGATGACTGACGTTTTGAAGGGAAACCAAACCACTAGCAGAGCACCAAGCTCTTCTGCAAGATGAAGAATTATTTACAGAAAGGGAAAACAGAAATTTTAAAATGTACTGCTGACTAAGAGTATTTTCAAATTTTGGGATAAAAATACAGGAAATATATACTACTATCCAATATTATAGAAGCAGAAGATGCTGGTCCACAGATAAACTCAGTCGAGGTCAAAAATAGACAAATTGTAACAACAGCCCTCCACATGAAAGGTCCATCTTACCCTACTATCCTGTCTCCAACAATGTCCAGTAGTGGATAATTAGGGAAACAATAGAAGAATAAAGAAAGCATATAGTAATACTCTGCTGATATGTACTATCAGCTTACACAAAAGTGAAGCTCAAGAATAGCAGCAATATCTTTGAGTTTAATAGTCCTGGGTATATGGAACCCAGGAAAGTATTCAGGCTGTCGTGCTTGAAAAATTCTCACTAGCCATTTACAGAGTTACTATTAGAGAGTGAATCTTACACTAGTTTATAACATATGTATGTACCATACAAATGCATATATATATATGCATTATATAACATAATTTAAGAATTTAAGAATTAAAACTCATTAAATTGAAGTTCTTCATGAAATAATGTTATAACTGCTCTTTTACCTCCATTGATCTCAATAATAATGTTACATATTATATTTTAAATCTCCAATAAGTTCTATATTTTTGAACTTCCAACACAGCTTTTCTTGGAAAAATTATTTCAGCACTAATGAGCATTTCATTTTCATAACTGAAGTTGAATACAATACTGTGTGCCACAGAATCCTGCGCAGGCTGTCCCTCTGACAATGGCAGAAAAGGGACTGTCAAGTCTTTGAGCTGAGATAGTCTATTTATACTTGATTCATTACCAAAAGCTGTATTGCTTAGTCTGCTTTCAAAACACCCAAAGAGAGATATTCTGGAGGCTCATTTGATAGCCTCTTGCAAGGTTTTACTCCATTAACGAGTGGAAATCTTTTAAAATTTGCAATTCACCCTTTTTCTTGTTACAGCCACAGGGAAAACCTGGTTCCTGTCCCCATATTCAAGTGCTTTTCAAGAAATGAAGCAGACCACCATCTTTTTCACCTGCCTATTCATCAATTGTTCCCTTATTTCAGCACTACCTCACTAACAACCTTTAAATTCCAGTCCTCCCTTGAGTCCTCTTGAGCTTCTGTCACTAAATAATTAAGGGGACTTTGCGGCAACCGCAGCATTTGAGAACTGTGGAACACGAAGAGGCATTCCATCAAAGGAGAGACCCACCAACAGGACACGGAGAATGAAAAGACAGCAGTGCTAACAGGCAATCTTAAAAGACTAAGCCACCTCAAGTTCTTCTACCTTTCCTTGCAGGTCATTTCTCCTAAACTTACAGTTTTGTTTCTCAACTCCACAATTTCTCTAATCTTTGATATTACTGTTCAAGAACAGTTTACAGAAACTATTCCACTAAGGTCTCACTAGTGCTGATAATGTTAGTATCTCCTGGAACGGGACTTGAACCTTTTTACACTGTTGACCCATATTATGAACTAGTTAGTCAGATGCTCCCCATATTACAACTGCAAATTTATTTCTATGCCAAAAGAAACTAGGAAGAAAAAACCTGTTTTCAATGATCTGAAGATCCACTAGTCTTCAGCTATCATTATAGCTCCTTTTTTAGATAAAGATACACATATTTAGGGTCAAGAAACTTAATGGGAATTCAGTCCATCTCTTATCTGGGGAGCTACTTCCTTTGAGAGAGCTCAGTCTTCAGTGTGTCTGTTCCTCATGCTTATCTTCTGCACCAAGACAAGAGCCTGCATAGAATCTAGACAACATTAAAGTCCAGTTTCGTAAGAACAAAATACCAAATCTGAGTAAACTCCATATGGAAATAATTGCCCATGTTTGCATGCATTAAGCATTATTTTTGTTGTAGCTGAATGTGCTCTAATTGCCTAAAGAAAACAGACACGTGCTACTCTGTTAAAAAAAAACCCTCAAATACACCATAAGGAAAATTTAAAAACCCAGTAGTTACAATTGCCAAATGAGTGATGGATATTAAGTATGGGGATTATTTGATGCAATCTGACTGCTTGATCAAACTACTGTGAAAAAAAAAAATTTTTTTTCAGCTATTCTGAAAATACACCGAAACCAGTTCTCTCTTGCATAAAATGGGAGATAAGAAATGCACCAAAACAGAGAAAAGAGTTAACATTTTTACCTTGTTGAGTTCAGACCTAAGATGTGCCACACCAGTGGCAGTATCTTAAACAAAAGCTTATTTATTCCTCTTGCTCCTACATGCTATAAGCAATCTCCAATTACTCTAACTGCAAGATTTCCTCCTGTGCTAACTCACATCACAGTGAAACCACCTCTTGTGTAGCAATAAGTCAGGTTTTACAATCACTCGCATGATTAGTAATTGCTAAAGCTACTCAAATATAAGAAACATTGCTCTGATAAGCAAAGTCAAATAGCTTCTTGTTCTTGTACTTGAAAGGAAGAAAATGAAAGAAGCATAGTGTCTCACTTCTTGGCTTCCTTTAACTGTCTGAAAAACAGGACCATACTGAACTGGCATCTGTTTCTGCAAAAAGGAAGGAAGCAATCAATGGTTTGGGACATTACATTTTCAGCATGAAGGAAGGGGCAAACAGGGACAAAATTTACTGTTGGGTGAGCTGGAGTGGCATTATGCCTGCGGGGAGTCTTTGTTATTGAGGTTGGTTGTCTGTGGGGCTTTTTTTGCATAACATGCAAAGATGACAACAAAAAGCCTGGCAAAGAGCTTGGAATGGATTAGTGAGCTCCCTTGTATTAACTCATTGGCAGGTTTAATTAGCGTGGGGTTGTGAGGCAAAAATCCTGACTGT